GGGTTGTCAGTTATTGCCGTTGATTATAGTTGTAACAGTAGAAAATCGGATAAAACCAAAAACTTTAGTAGTGAGTAAAAAACCCCCCACAAAATGTTGTACCTATGATTTTGATAATTACAAAACACATTTGAGTGACTAATTGGTTTATTTAAGTGTGTAGTTAAGTTGCTAAAAAATTGCAAGTAAACTTGGATTGCACTAAAAATAGACCAAAAGGATTCAGAATTGCAGAGAGCTGGCTCTTGAAAGCTGCAGCCGGCTTTGGTGAAATGGAAGTGCAGAGAGCCAGCTCTGGAAGCTGCAGCCGGCTCTACATGCAAAAATTTGAAGACCGTTGAAAAGATGCAAAGCCGGCTCCCACTTTATAGCCGGCTGTGAGGGTGCATTTAATGCACAACGGTCGAGTCATTTGAAGATTATTTAATATATTTAAAGTCAAAGTTGTAAAGCCGGCTCAAAGTTTTGCAGCCGACTCTCAAGAAAAACAGAATGGTCTGCAAACCCGGATAGCCGGCTCTGGAAGTGTAAGCCAGCTCTGTAGAGCCAGCTCTAGAATGTTAAGCCGGCTCTCCTGACAATCCTACAACTCGACTTTTGCGTCCTGCAGAGCATTTAATGACCCTCAATGGCTAGTAACGGCTATTTTCGAGCAAGGGGCTATAAATATGATTGGTAACAGATATGAAGAAGTGAGGAGAATATAACATTGCATATCTTTACCTACCTACTTGAGTTTTTGATCTTTGAGTGATCATTGCTTGTAATCCTCTTCTTGTGCTATTAGTGAGTGATCTTGGAGGTGTGTTGATTCCTTCAAGAGTGATCTATTGAGAGGATTTGTGGGGTTTATCTTGTAAAGGGGTGAGATTTGAGAGAAACACCCTTATTCTTGTAAAAGGATTGAGTGGCTCCTTTAAGCCACCCTTGTTGTTGTTAGTGGAGAGTGTGAAGCAAATCCTTGGTGAGTGAAGCCAAGGTAGAGGACTAGGCACCAAGTGGTTGGACCGAACCTCTATAAATCATTGAGCAAGCTCTTCTTCTTTACTCTCTTTAATTTGGGTGTTGTGGTTGCAAAAAGGGAAGAATTTTTGGAACTCCAATTCACCCCCCCTCTTGGAGTACATTGAGTCAACAATTGGTATCAGAGCTTGGGCTCCAATTTGAAGGTTTAACCACCTAGGAGTTGATCGGGAATGGCTCAATTTCTATCTTCTCAACCACTTGAAGGTTTGTCTACCACTAAGCCTCCTTTCTTTGATGGTACTAATTATAATTATTGGAAGAATAGGATGAAGGTCTTCATGCTTGCAAATGTGCCCAAGGCATGGGTTGT